CCCGCGCCCCTCTCGGCCTCAGCCTGCCGATGGGTCCTGAGGCTCAGTCTGAGATGTGGCCTGGCCCGAGGTGTGGCCCTTGTCCTCTAGGGACCTGGGTGTCCTGCGAGCAGACGCGGCCAAGACAGCGCAGCGCCTGCACACGGCCTGCCTGAACCTGGACTCCAACCTGAGGCTGTCGGTCAGTGCCCTGGAGCATCAGCTGCAGGACAGGGTGGAGGTGACGCTGCAGCCACACAGCCGCTGGGATGCCGAGAAGGCAGTGCTCCAGGCCAGGTGGGCCCTGGGGCGGATGGGGAGCCCCAGACTCGCCTGCAGCCAGCCAACAGCCGGGTTTCTGAGATGCGGTCTCACCGCTCACCGAGTTTGGGGCCCGGTTTTCACCTGCCATCACCTCCCCGTGTCTCCTTCCCTGCCTCTCCCTGCCCACCCCTGCACGAATGTGCTCTGCCACAAAGAGGGGGCTCGACCAGGTGGAGGGCCACCCCCTCCCTGTGTGGGCGAGTCTGACAGCCAACACGGAAGGTTCTGGTCCCTCACCTGGGGGCTCTGGAGGGCAGCCCAGCTGAGCATGGGAAGGCAGCCCACCTCCCCACCCCCACCCCCAGTGAGGCCTAGCCTGTTCGCCACGGCCAAACCCACAGACCCCGGCTTGCAGCTGGCTTGGCAACACCCCCAGGCTGAGGGGGTGAGCCCTCCCTCCCTTGGGGTAGGTGAGAGAAGCCACATCAACCCAGGAGTCTGGCAGCCCGCAGGGCCAGCCCAGGGCCTGAGCCACCTACCTGGGAAGGGACAGCTGGGGTCTTAAGAAGGGGGCTCCTGGGAAGGTGACAGTGCTGGGCTGGCAGAGGCCCCCTGTGGTGTGAGGCCCCCTGGCACAGCCCCAGTGGACACTCCGTGTGCTGGACACGAGGCTCGGACGCTGAGCCTGGCAGCAGCACCATGAGAGGTTCAGAGCGCACAGCCCCATGAGCAGACCTGGGCCGGGGAGGCACGTACAGGGTCACAGCAGAACCAGGGCCCTTGCCCTCACCCTGACCCCTTGCCCTGTCCCGACCCCCCACAGAGTCTCCGAGCAAGCACCGTGGGTGGGGCCGCTCACGGAGGAAGGCGAGGAGAGAGCCTGTGCGCTACCCAGGGCCGGCGCTGGGAGACGGGTTCGAGGGCCGGGAAGTGGGTGGCTGCACGGTGGGGGTGTGCCTGCATGCTGAGGGGTCTCCCACACGGTCGCAGGGGTCCCAGCCCGGTGGAGCCCAGGGGGCAGCAGAGGGCCTGGAGTCTGTGGCGTCTGTGGCACACGCCGGCCCATGGCACGCGGGTGGACTGCCCATCCTCCTGCAGGAGAGGCACACGGACACAGCCAGCCTGGGAGCGCCCGTGTGACAGCCCTCCCCTCTCCCCCGAAGGCAGCCCAGGCGGACGCGGGGCATCTGGGCTCCTCCTGGAGCAGCAGGGATGGCGAGAAGGGGCAGCGCCCACACGGGGGCCTTCTGCGGGCCATGTCTCCTCACCGGGGGCTGTCACCGCCCCGGGCCCAGTCCCTGGCCTTCCCGGACTCTGCACTACAGGCCGAGCAGACAGCCACCCCAAGCCCACAGTGGTGGGAGCAGGTGGGCAGCCCTACCCTGGCCCCAGGCAAGTGCCCTGGTCACCGCGGGCAGAGCCATGAGCTCACCGTCTGAGGTGTCCTGACAGCACCCACAGAGGTGAACCAACCTCCTTGCCAGGGAGGGGCGGTCACCTACAGGGGCAGGGGCTGCCGGTCCGGGGAGGCACAGCCCTGCCAGGCCAGAGGGGTCACGCCGCCGCCCGGTAGGAGCTGCGCAGGCAACTGCAGGCGTCCCAGGCGGCGGCTGGGCTCCCAGAACAGCTCTCCGAGCGCCAGCAGGAGCTGCAGGCCTCGCAGAGGCTCCTGCAAGAGAAGACGCGGGAGTGTGAGGGCCTCCTGGGCCAGCTGCAGGCCCAGAGGCGGGAAACGCAGCTCTGCCAGGCGACAGCTGAGCTCTTGCACAGGTGACAGGCCGCGGGGCCCAGGCGGGCGGGGACCCTCCGACACACCTTTGGCCCTGGGTCAGGGTGAGAGAGTGTACCCGCGAGTCCTGAGAGGGCTCGCAGGGCTCGGGCTTCCCTGAGCAGGGCATGGGCAGCAGGTGTGGCGTGATCCATGTCGCACTGGCGGGAGGGGCAGAGCCACCTGCTCTCCCCACAGTGGGTGGAGCCCGGGCTCTTCACACTGCGCCTCCAGGCCACCCGAGGGCGCGGGCCAGGCGGAGGCACAGCGTGAGTCCTTCCCGCCGTCCTGGAGGCACAGCTGGCCAGTGAGGATGCAGAGTCTCGCGTGGGGGCCTGGGGAGCCAGCGGGCAGGAGGGCCTTCCCCGCAGGGAGCCAAGAGTGATGAGGTGGGGCCGCTGGGTGCAGGTAGGGGCCAGGTCACCGAGGGAGGCCCTACCCAGCACGCCACAGAACTGGGGACAGCAGGGCCACAACGGCTGCTGTGGTAGAGCACAAGGGAACACGTCAGGGGGCCAGGGAGGGCAGGCGGAGGGGGCCTGGGGATGAGACCTCAGGACCGGGCACTGCAGGCCGAGGGAGAGGTGCGGACTTCCCACTGGGGGACAACGTGAGCTCAGGAATGGGCCGGACACTGAACTGGGCTCTGCACGGGCTGGAGGAGATCGTGAGAGCCCAGAGCTGGGAGGTGGGGTGGGCCCCTCCTGCCCCGGCCTTCGGCAAGCTTTGCTGAGCATGGCCAGTTGGGCAGTTAGACACGCAATATGCCAGTGAGTGAGGCAGTGTGCCTTGGGGGTGCCCACAGGGCCTCAGGAGCCGGCCAGGCCCACCAGTGCCCCGCAGTGGGCAAGCAGCCTGGCCTCGGGCTGGAGGCCTTCCCTTGCCTCCCTGAGCCCTCTGACCACTGCACTCTTGACCGGCCATTGGCCGCCCTGCCCCTGCTGTCCCAGCGCCTGCCTGCCCCGAGGAGTGGGCTGGGCCACCTCACCCTGCCCACCCCTGCCCCAGGGAAAAGGCAGCTCTGGAGCTGCAGGTGGATGTGCTGAGAGGGAAGGCGGGTGTATCAGACGCCGAGAGGCGCAGGCTGGAGACCTCGAATGCAGAGCTGCAGAGAAGCCTCGCGCTGCGGGCGGAACAGAAGGCGGAGCTGCTGCAGCAGAGCGAGGGGCAGCGCAGGGAGCCCCGGGCCAGGTGGGCCGCACCTGCCGCCTCTCTCTGGGCCTCATGGCCTCCTCTACCCGACGGGCAGTGTCCTGACCAGTCTGTTTGGGGTGCAGGGCTCCCAGGCTCCTTCCCCGACCATCACCCCAGGCTGGCCCAGAGCAGGCCCGGCAGAGGGGGTGTCCAGCCCAGCACACGTGCACACATGCATACACATGCACACGCACACACACACACCTCACCAGTGCACTGCTCAGCCCCAGCCCCCAAATAAGGGGCGCCACAAAGGCCACACCCTCGCAGCTCACCGACTTCCCACACCTCAAGGGCACCCACTGCTGTTTCAGGGCTTCAGGCGCAGCAAATGGCAGGAGGGCCGAGG